TCTATCTATAGTAGCACCCAGAATTCAAAACTAGCGGCCCTGGATTGCAGGTGAAAGGACTGCGATACAAAATCATCTCCAAAGATTCTTGGATGAACGGCGAGTTCCAGGAAAGGATGACTGCGTTCAATGCATCGAAAAAGAGAGTGCTTTAAACAGAAGGTCCTGGAAGGACGTGAAAAACTATGTTCACAACCGAGTTGTGACACTAAATCGGATATCGGCGTCAAAGATGCTCAATTTCTAATCTTACTATATTCCGAAGGGCACTTATTCTTCTTTTTGTGGTGTTCCCTATCCTGTATTGTGTTCTTCAGGCGTTTGACATGTTAATGGCCTGCAAAGCCTCCAGAGGTAGTTTATTTCCTTTTTTAACTTTAACATAAATTCACATTTCACATTGTACAATCATCGTAGAGTCGGATTACATGTAGTGATGGATCTATACAGGGTTAAACGCGTGTTTGAATAGGAGACACACAATTAACACTTTCGCCACGGACTCGGACAGTCTCCGTGTGTTATCTGCATGTACCGTTGCCTTCTTGCTGTGTTGTGTAATATTAAAGCATGCACTCGTGCACAAACGGTTTTCCTTCTGCAGTTTGTGCACGAGTGCACGCTTTAATATTGTAGTAAGATTACACAACACAGCAAGAAGGCAACGGGACATGCAGATAACACACGGAGACTGTCCGAGTCCGTGGCGAAAGTGTTAATTGTGTGTCTCCTATTCAAACACGCGTTTAACCCTGTATAGATCCATCACTACTTGTAATCCGACTGTACGATGATTGTACAATGTGAAATGTGAACTTATGTTAAAGTTAAAAAAGGAAATAAGGACAATTGCTTTCTTTTTCTGTGTGACCTTCTGTGGGACACTTTTGGCCTGGCCCTCTTCTGGGCTCTGATCTACAATAGTAACAGGCACACATTAATTTCTGTTAGTTAATAAGAACTAAATTATCATGTATAATTAGGTTCATGCGTATGCACCTGCTGATATTCAAATCAGACCACCAAGACCTGAGAGCAGGGTACTAACTGATATTTCAGTGTATACAAATGAGAGAATCAGTATGTCCTTACAGTTTACAAAAACAGTTTTACCAGGGGGGCAATGGTTTATCTTCCACAACAATGACAGTTCATATTTACTATGATGAATTACCTATCTTAAATGAGCTGTAAACTCTACTAAAATTATACTGATGATTGAAGTATGAAAAACACCAGCACATTTTCTGTTAGATTTTTGCCCCAAAATATCATTATAATAATTGAAGCGTTATATCCACCATTTGACCTACTGCACTTCTGATGACCTGTTAGCCCTTTTGCTCTAGGTCTTAGGCCTTGTATTCAATCCGCTTGTCTATTCTAACAGGGCTTTACACAGAAGAGGATGTATCGTGATCTTGGTAAACACAGAACACCTTTGTTTTCTCACTAATCCCGTTTACACAACTTTAGTGCCTTGGTCTAAATCTCTCTCTCTTTGTCTCACAGTCTCACACTTCCTGTGTCACACTTGGAACTTGTTTGTGCCTGTCAGAAGTTTTATTGGCCTGCTGACATTCTGCACTATACTACTTGGAATGAATTCAAAGTGTAATCTTCAGCCTTGATAAGATCTGAAGTCTGCAAATCTGCCGCAGTAACGTTATATAGTTGCACATATTGTAATTCCAGAGGAATGTGTGACATTTATGCTGTAAAATAGCGAATTTCCAACATTTAATAAAGAAACGGGATTAATACATAAAAAAGTGAAAACTGAACTTCCTTATTGGTCAGCTTTTCTTGAGAACAATGGTGTTTGAGGTTTCATGCCAAACTGGAAGGTCCTTTCCAGCAGGTAGTCTAGTGTGTTTATCTGTATGACAACGTCCCAAGAATATTGTGGTTATGAACAGAAGTAGAAACTCTGTTGACTTGTGTGAAACACACTTTGAACAACCCTCCCTCAATGAAACTAGTTTATTAGCAAATGTATTAACCATAGTTGACATATCAGCACACAATCAGAATATTCATATTATGAAATCCGTGAGAAAATCAAATATGATCAAATCTTTTGTAGTTTTGTAGTTATTAACTGTCAAGTAAAGACGAACAACCCTAATCAAAAGATCAAATAACTATAACATTAGTTGTGTTTTGAGCAGTAAAATAAACGATGCCCCCCTGTCTGAGAACAACACAGTAAATGCTCATTTCAATATGGGCCAACAGGTGGAGCACTTCCCCAACCCGCACGTACATTAATAAATATAATACTGGTACCAGATATGGCATTCATTGCAGTTTTGTTGGAAGTTGGTTTGTTGATACTGATATTCATTAGATTATTTAATGTAGGTATTTCATAAAAAGCTATCTGTATTTTTGTACAGCAGACGAATCGATGGTCTGAACATTAATTGTATGCATTATGTTCTCTATGAATCTCAAACTGTTCAAACCCTTTTTACTTACTTAAAAATGAAATTGCAGCTAAGAATAACTTCAAGCTTTACACAGAAGCTAGTTTTCTTCTATGGTGTTCCCCATTAAGTATCAAAACTCAACAACGCCCAAAAACCAGGTCCTCACTTCGATACCAAACTGGCTTGAAAAGTTGTATTGTGTGGCTTTTTTAGCAACACTTAAAATGACTGTAACGTGTGGTCTATTCAGTGTGGTATGGAGTGGACATCTGTAATACAGAATATAAACTCTCAGACAGCTGTCGTACAACATATCTAGAGCTTTGTCATTTTGTCATAACTGACAAAGGTAGCAGACTCAAACAAATGGGCGTTAATGACACTTCATAGTGTTTTTGCTCTTATTATAGTAATCAATCAATCAATCAATCAATCAATCAATCAATCAATGTTTATTTATATAGCCCAATATCACAAATGTTACATTTGTCTCAGTGGACTTTACAGTTTGTACAAAATATCAGTATGACAATACGACACCCTCTGTCCTTAGACCCTCACATCGTACAAGGAAAAACTTCCGGAGAAAACCCACAGTTTAAAGGGAACATGGGAGAAACCTCAGGGAGAGCAACATAGGAGGGATCCCTCTCCCAGGACGGACAGACGTGCAATAGATGCCGTGTGTAAATTGAAAAGATAATACATTTGCAACATAGGTAGTCCAAATGTTTGGAAATGCATGTGTGTATAATAGGAAGATGAATCCACGAGGATATCCATCCAGGACCTATGATCCAGGACCACAGCCACGACTCAAGATCCAGGGCTCGCGATCCAGGACAGAGGAGCGCAGGATCATCCATGACTCCGGATCCCGGCGTATATAGACACCAAAAAGAAAGACATTTGGGGAAGCTGGGTTAATCGGAACATGAGAGTACACAGGTATAGACAGAGAGAAGGAAGAAGTAAGATGTCCCCCCGACAAACTAAGCCTATATCAGCAAAACTAGGGGCTGGATCTAATCAGCCCTAACTATAAGCTTTATCAAAAAGGAAGGTCTTAAGCGCACTCTTAAAAACGGATAGGGTGTCTGCCGCCCGAACACAAACTGGAAGCTGATTCCACAAATGTGGAGCTTGATAAGAAAAGGCTCTGGCTCCCATTGTACTTTTAGAGACTCTAGGAACAACCAACAACCCTGCATTCTTGGAACGCAATGCCCTAGTAGGACAGTAGGGTATAATGAGTTCTTTAAGGTAAGATGGCGCCTGCCCATTAAGGGCTTTGTAGGCGAGAAGAAGAATTTTAAATTCTATCCTGTGTTCTATAGGGAGCCAGTGTAAGGCAGCCAGAACAGGAGTAATGTGGTCCCTTTTCCTAACTCTGGTTAGTACACGAGCCGCAGCATTTTGAATCAGCTGAAGCGTCTTGACTGACTTCTTGGTACACCCTGATAATAAAGAGTTAACTAGTAACTAGTTTTCTTCTTACAGCAAACACATGGTTTTTGATATTGGTCTTGATGTCAGTTTTAATTTTAGTAAGTAATATAGCAGTGTTGAAAACCTTGCAGACTTATTCCCTGCAGACAAAAACAAAAACATAATCCAAGACCTTTCAAATAGTCATTACATTATCTATCATTTGTATTTTTTAATGTGTAAAAGTTATGTATACTTGTTTTGTTCAAAGCACAACTGTGTTAACTTTCAAGTTGGACAATGTTTACAACAACTGTTTGTTATATATATATTTTTGCCAAATCATCTTCAATTAAACATATGGTTTTATTGGAAACAGAAATGTAACTCATGGCTTCAAATACAACTGCTATATATCTGCTCAAATGTTTTATTTTATGTCTGTAACAAGAGCTTGTAGAGCAGGGGGGTCAAACTCAAATACACAGTGGGCCAAAATATAAAAATGGGTACTAGTCGAGGGCCGGACTGGTTCAATGTTTATTGCAAAACGTATTGAAATGAATTTATTGCACATATTAAACCTGGAACTAACAAAGCTTAAATGATTGCCTATAAAAACAACATTAAATAATCAGTTGCATTAATTTCTTATGGCTCTATCTGCAGCTTTTCCGGAGTCATTTCTTATGAGTACATTTCTCCACAGGCCAACAGCTTCAACAAAACTATTTCCCTCAAAGAGAAAACCAAACATGCCCTGTTGTCGTGAGAGAGAAAGTGCAGAAGGAAGCATCCATTAAACTCAGTGTGCTGCTCTGTGATGCAGATACTTGGCATCTCATCTTGGGGGCAAGGTCATCAATGTTTGGGCTCAGGCTCTGAGCGGAGGAAACCCTCAGGATGGAGGGAAGGTGTGCGTGCAATATACCGGCGGGCCAGATCTAATAGTAATTAGAAATTATCCTGCGGGCCGAAATTAAATCTACCAAGGGCCTGATTTGGCCCCCGGGCCTTGAGTTTGACACGTGTTGTAGAGCAATACATCTTGACCACTTGTTTCATCAGACACAAATACGTCAGAATAAGGAAGTATAATATTATCAAAATGCTGTTTCACTGTGACGGAAACAACAATACAGACACTTCTGTGTTCTATGCTTTTAGATGATGCCTTTAGTGATGCCTACACTGCGCAGATAGGATCTAAGTGTTTTGCTCAAGGACACTTCGGCAGGGCACATGGAAGCTGGCGGACACGCTGTCTGCTTCTCTGTAAGTCTCTGTGAATCAGAAACCCTTCGGCAGGTGTTTTCCACACCTGACTCTGTCTCGCTTCTGTCTCTTTACTTTTCCACTGCACAGTCCTTATCAGCTGCAGAACATAAACTCATAGATTCTGGGCAGGGGATAGATGTCGGATAAGTGAGTAATGTCAAATAACTTTTAACATCTGAAAGTGTGCGATAATTATTTTGTGATACAGACATAAGAAGGTATTCATAGAAGAAATTACATGGATTTCAGTGTCTTTTAAAAGCGTTATCTGGTGTCCATTGGTGAATGTCAAAACATTGAAGCTTATACTTTACCTACAAAAAATGATTTTTTTAAGCAGTAGAAGGCAAAATCTGGCATGTTTTTATCAGTTATCGTTACTTTGATGGAGCTTTTCTGTTTATTCATCACATTTTTGGTTGAATATCTCATTTTTTAAATGAAACCATGCATATAAATGCACCAGATGTGAATTCTATCACTCTGACATCAAGTTGTCTCATATCTGCACGTGTTTTACTGCTAAAACGTGCAGTACACAGGACATGTAACCCAACAGCTGGTTTAAATTCTGCTCTTTAGAAACTGCTTGTTGATGTCAGTGTTGCGCCCACAGTCACAAAGAGGAAGCTGAAACACACAGCTGCTGCTTCCTTTTGAGCAATGAGACGGCATCTTCAGCTAAAACCTGAACTTAGACAAGACGACGACTCTTTCATTGTATCGTTTCCATGGGTGTGTCTAAGGAACTGTGGTTATTCACACAATAACAACAGATAAGAGTTACAAGCTTAGCTTTGAGATAAGCCATATTGTCAAGGTCATGTTGTTCCGAAAAAACACACTACAAATAATCCTTAAACCATGAACTATATTTAGCAAAATGATCTAGACTCTCAAAAACAAGTATTTATGAAGACATTTCTATATGAAAACATTGAAAAAAAATGTAATAAAGGAAACCATTACATCTTTGATAACATACAATGCAACAAATAATGCTTGGTGCTATGAGGTAAAGTTTTATTTAAAGCAAATGTACATGATAATGATATTGTTGTATCGTGTGCTGCAACACTAAGTCGATACATTGATTTATTTATTAAAAATAATAGCAAACAACTTAAAAAAAAAAAAAATGTGTATATATATTCTAGTTGAAGTTTTGAACAATGCAATACCTTGATGTGTAATTGTAAAAAAGGAGACACAACAGATAGAAGCATCTCTTAGTAAACTGAACACAAGTCCAGATAAGTTACAACTTGCATGGTGTAACTTTTGCTCTGGTTTCTCCAGGCTGACGTGGGAAAGGCTCCAGCCGCTGCCACACCTCCATCACCTTAAGCAAGGTTGTGGTTTTGGACACGTAACCCGACACATTCAGATATAAAAGCCTCGATCGGACCCCGCCAAGTTCAGTCAGTCAATATGAGGGGGCTGCTCGCACTTACCGTGCTGTTCGTGGCCGTTTTCGGCAAGGAGACTTTTGAGGGGTAAGTGTGGGTATCTAACACCCACGGTGGAAGAACTCAGATTTTATACTCAAAAAGCAAAATTAGCAATATTGTAAAAATACTATAAAAAGTAAAAGTCCTGCATTCAAAATCTTATTTTACTAAAAGTATCAGCATCAAAATATACTTAGGTACCACAAGTAAAAGTACTCGTTATGAAGAATGGCCCATTTCAGAATAACATGAAATGACCTGATTGTGTTCATCCCAGCTGGTAAAGGAAGAGCTTATTTTACTTTGTATACTGCTGCTGGATATATTAACCTATAATAAAATGTTTAATTATTAGATGATTTGTATTTGTTTTAATTTGAATCTGTCAGATAAATGTGGTGGATTAAAAATTACAATATTGGCTTCCAACATCTAGTGGAGTAGTTTAAAGTTGCTTACAATAAAAAATACTCTGTTAAATTACCTCAAAATAGTACTTAATACTTTAAATGTACTTTATTACATTCCTCCACTGCTACTACAATCCTCTCACTGAGTTGTAGGCTGTAAGAGATCTTTAGATGTGTGCAGAAATGTGAAATAATCAATATGTTCACTTTATAACAATCGCTTTTATTGAATTTTTAAAATGTCTCCAGGACCAGTGGTGTGCTTTTTGAGCGTCAGATATTGGGAAATGCGATTTCCCCCTACAGTATATGTGCCAACTTCTAGCTGATTGTGAAGTTCTCTTGAGTCAACAGATGTAAAACATTCTGCGTCTCTTTCTGCAGGCACCAGGTTCTTCGCATGTATGCCAAGAATGAAGACCAGCTGGCTCTTATCAACGACCTGGAGGACAACCACGAGTTTGAGGTCATTCATCATGCTCTGATAATTACTTCTGAATAAAATAGTTTGTAAATAATGAAAGTCCAAAGCTTCATCAACCACGGCCCGTCTACACTACAGGCGTCAAAAAATGCTTTCAACGCTTCGCCCATTCATTTGAATGGGGTGACGTAGGATATTTTCAAACTTCGCCGAACTGCATTGTGGGTAGCATGGCAAGGCGTTGCAAGCATCGCGAGCGTCTATCGGCGTCAAAAGTTGAACAATGTTCAACTTTTGAGGCTCGATGCTTGCTCGAAGCTGGCGTCAGCCAATCAAATCCCGTTTATGCAAATCCCGCCAGTACAAGCGCTAGCCAATCAAACCGCGTGCAAGCTGGGAGAGCCAGACCGCAGTTAATTTCCTCATATTCCAAACTAGAAATTACGGTAGCAAATCACCCGGTTCTTTACGACCAGAACTATTTACCGGGATACAAACCGGAGGAACCAGGCATGGAGGGAGGTGGCAGAGACAGTGGGTGAAACTGGTAGGTTTTCGCCTGTTTGGGGAGTTTATATCCAGTTTACTTCGTTTTAACATTGCTATTGCTTTGTATGTCGGGGGCGGGAGATTCATGTGATTGGTTGTTGGTCGCGTTGCTCGCAAAAAATCGCCAAGCTTCAGACACGCCCAGCTTCAAGTTTTTCGATGCCTGTAGTGTAGACGGGCTGTAACCCTCATCCAATTCCAACTCAGAATTTAAGCTTCTTCCTTCGGGCGAAGAGTCGAACGAAGCGGTATAAAAACAGTTTTATCCCAGCAGCTATTGCACAAATCAACCAATCATAGGAGCGTCACACAGATGCCTATTTATTTATTTATGAATTTTGAATGTCCATGTTTGTAAAAGTGCTTTTCTTTTGAATTGTTTTTAAATATTTTAAGATTTGACGGAGCAGGGTATACTTTTCTTAGTTCTTTTATTAGGGATGTGTCTGTTGTTTGTCTTTAGAGTGTGTCAGGATGGATCCCTTGTCCTTTTATCTGTAAACTAAATCTACTTACGGGTACAAATAAAGAACCTGAACCTGACCCTAAGATCAAATGTTGTGTGCTATATGTTTCTTTTTAGCTGGATTTCTGGAGGGGAGTGACAGATGTTAGAACCCCTGTGGATGTTAGAGTTCCCCACCACAACCTGCGGTCCATCAAAATTCACCTGGAGAGTAACGCCATCGATTACTCCATCATGATCGGAGACCTTCAGGTAAGAGGCCTCCAAAACAGCTTGACATATCAATCCAGGCTTCATCGAAAGTCAAAGTCAAAGTGAACATGAACAGAATTGAATCTACTGCATTTGGTTTTTGAGTTTTTAAGAAGTTTGAAGCTGATTTTTCGGCCAAAGTTCAGTCGGACAGAAAAATATATTATGTTAAAATGAATGTTAACCTATGTGTTTCTGCAGGCGATGCTGGATGAGGAGCGGATGGAGATGGTCTCTGCTGCTCGTGTTCCTGAGCCCAAAAACGCTGACAGCTACGACTATGCCAGGTACCACCCCATCAATGAGGTAAGTGCACCAACTCACTGAGTCTAATTGAATTTGCTGATACTCATAGCTATCCCTTTAAACTTGAAGAAGAAGCTCAGTGTGTGGTTAATGTCCCGGTCGGACCAACATTTAAGAATAGAGAAGAACACACTTCTTCCCTTGGATGGGCGTTGAGATACTATCCACATGCAGAACATATTTAACAAATGCCAACCGAAATGCAGTCATCAACCGAATACATTGGGACCAAGTTCTCATTCTGGTTATTAAAGGACCGGATGGCTTGTAGAAAGTGATCATCTACATCAGAAAAGCATTCGACTTCAAACTATATAATTAAGCTGCAACTCAAAATAACCCTAATCCATGTCAACAACTTGTTATCACAACCCTAACCCTAAATATCATGATTGTGTATTTGTTGTAGATCTACAGTTTCCAGGACATGCTGGTGGCTGAGAATCCCAAATTGGTCAGCAAGATTGTGATCGGCAAGAGCTACGAGGGTCGTCCCCTGAATGTGCTCAAGGTAAATATAACAAACTGGATCATTTGCAGCAAAGAAGAGTCTTTTTCATATGCTGAATAAACACAACTCAAACATAACATTACTCTGAATGAAGGACAGAAGATCATTTGAGAACTTTCATTAGGAAATTAAGATTGTTTCTTTGACTAGACATTGTGGAAACCTTCTATATAAAGGTCTCCTATTATACTGATTTTCATCAATATATTACAGGTCTCAGATAGATACAAAACATGTCTCTGAACGTCTGAAGTGTTTGGCTCCAAACACCAAACAGATCATTGCAGCATTACCCATAATCCCCTCTGTTTCAGCTCTGTTTCCAAAGTGCTGATTATCTGTCTGTTACTTTAGATGAAAATGAAAAGCCCCTCCCCACGCCCCTCTGAGAGAGATTTGGTTAAAAAGAACACAATAGCCGCTTTCACACCAAGTACTTTACCGTACTTAGTGCCAGCACTTAGTGCCGGCACATGGAACTAAGTACAGATCGCGTTCACACCGGAATAAGTTCCTCAGGAAAGATTACGCAAATGAAGCCGCTGACGTCACTTCTGCTTTGGGTTTACTGGCAGGCCGCAAACCACTTCACGGCAGCGACATGCAGTCAGGGGAGGCAGGGGAGGCAGAGCCTCACCTGTCATACTCCAATGTAACGGAAAAACAACTAAAGAAAAACGAAATAGTAATAATAATAAAATGTCTCCACTGATCTGTGTTGTAACTTGTAAATGTGATTTATGTTTGATTCCAATCGCTTTTTATAGTCAAAATCAGCAAATTTGCAGAGCTCCTCCGCTACAACTACGGGTAGCGATGAGAAGTGAGGCAGGGACGAGCTCTGCCTCACGTAAGCCGACAGTAACTTGCTGGAGCGCGGGCACTAATTTAACGCGGGCACTTATTTTGTGAGCGCGCTCAAGCCAGTTACTGTGTGGTGAGGTGAGGCACAGATGAGCTCTGCCTCACCTCAAAATGCGTCACCCCACAGAAACTGGCTGGAAAGCGAGCCCTAAGCGCATGCCTGCACCATCTCACTGTATGTCACCAATGTAATGTTTGTAGATCCCTTTATTACATTTATCCTCGCCATCCATAGTCTCTAAATAACTTATTTCACGTATATATGATATTTAGGCTCGCTGGTCTCATCATACAACGGCAATGAAAAAAGCACCAGGGGAGGCAGCCATAACCTCTGCCGCACTGAAGGGGGCGCAAGTGAGCCCACAGGTTCTTGTTGCTACTGTTATTCTACGCAGAGACGGGGTAGACCATGGCAGGAGACGCGACGCAAACAACAAACTAGACTTTTGAAACTACAGGAAGATAAGGAGAACTTTTACAAAAAAGTAATAGAGATTGTTGTCCAGAAGGAAAGCATGGACTTCATCTTCAAGTCAAGGTAAGACCCCAATTGTAATGAAAATGGGATCATACTAAGAAAGAACAATCCAATATTTAGATTTTGGGTATCCTTTTGTTGAACGGTCTGTTTAAAATGAATCGAAGCATCAGACTAAAAAAGCTTTTGAAAATAACCGAATATGTCGATTATGGTCAAAATATGATATTTATAAATCTGACCCTGAAAGAGTCAGTGCCTCACCAGCCATGAACCTCACCGCACGTCACTGCTTCACGGCGTATACTGCCACCCGAAGTCCCCGTTCGGAAGACCCCGGAGTTGGGGGCTGGCTTCAGTAGAAGCTGCTGGGACTCCCAGCAGCTTCTACTGAAGTCTTCCGAGTAAATCGCCAGAACGCCGACACCTCCTCATCTCCACCGCTCCCATGTTTTTTTTTGTGTTGCCATAAGTTACTCTCTCTCCGTTGGTGCGTGGGGCTAATGCTAATAACGCTAATAATGCTAATGCAAGCAAATAGAATGGCGACTTCAAAAAACTTTTCAGAGTTTTACGGGGCGTGGTTTGCAATTCGCCCAGCCAATCGAAATTGGTACTTTGTTCTCCCCAGGATAGTCCCACCTCTCTAGCAGGGACTACAAATGGGGGTAAAAGTTTTCAGAACTAAGTTCTCTTTTTTGTGTGAACGCAAAATTCCAGGCACTATCGGAACAAAACGGGAAAAGTACGGGTAAAAGTACTCCGGTGTGAATGCGTCTAATGGTGCTCTAGGAGGAGATTCAGGTGATAAAGTGTGGGGGGGGGGGGGGGTTACCTTGGTTGGTGATTGGCTAATGGTTACACAAGACAAAACATCGTTATGACATCATAAAGTGGCTAAAATCTGATCAGCTCATTTTCAGACAGGTTTTTATAGAAATGGATCAAAAAGAGAGAGAATCTTTGTTCCTGAAACTTTCAGAGTCTCTTTCCACAGAGGGGACACATGTTGATGTAGAAGAGACATGAAGAAGAGGGGACACATGTTGATGTAGAAGAGACATGAAGAAGAGGGGACACATGTTGATGTAGAAGAGACATGAAGAAGAGGGGACACATGTTGATGTAGAAGAGACATGAAGAAGAGGGGACACATGTTGATGAAGAAGAGACATGAAGAAGAGGGGACACATGTTGATGTAGAAGAGACATGAAGAAGAGGGGACACATGTTGATGTAGAAGAGACATGAAGAAGAGGGGACACATGTTGATGTAGAAGAGACATGAAGAAGAGGGGACACATGTTAATGTAAAAGAGACATGAAGAAGAGGGGACACATGTTGATGTAGAAGAGACATGAAGAAGAGTGGACACATGTTAATGTAGAAGAGACATGAAGAAGAGGGGACACATGTTGATGTAGAAGAGACATGAAGAAGAGGGGACACATGTTGATGTAGAAGAGACAGGACAAAGTGGATTTGGCATACTAGGTGACCTTTAATATAAAAAGATATATAACAATAATTGAAAGTATGTTCACTCATTATGTGTTTGTTTGACTGCTCCTCCTTCTCGTGTCTTAGTTCAGCACCGGAGGAACCAACCGTCCCGCCATCTGGATCGATACTGGAATCCACTCCAGAGAGTGGGTCACTCAGGCCAGCGGCACCTGGTTCGCCAAAAAGGTGATTTAAAAATGTCCACATTGCTTTTAGTCCATCTTCAGCTGATGACCACAAACCGGCTGCTCACTGAACAACGTATTCTCTACCTTTCTGTGAGTAGATTGTGGATGACTACGGACGTGACCCCGCTCTCACCGCCATCCTCAACAAGATGGACATCTACCTGGAGATCGTGACCAACCCCGATGGCTACTACTTCTCCCACACCAGCGTGAGTCTCACAAAGCTAGAATATGTTACTCACTCATATTCAACTGCCATAAAATGTATTTGTGGGACTTCTAAAAAGGCTTATGCAGCGTTTCTCGATCTTGTTTCTGACCCAATGACATTAAGAGAGTTTTTATGTGAATTTGAGCATGGCATAAGTTTCCCAAACATTTTTCAAGACATGAATGCAGAGACTTGTTCTTCTCACACCGCACTGTAACTTTTATTCATGTAGCCTACTTGTGTTATTCATGTTTTATTAACTTTGCTTTTAAATGAGTGTTTTTAAAGGCCATTTATAATATGCACTTTGGGATTGCTGTTAGCAACGAAAGGTGCTTTAAAATTCGAATTTATTATTATTTTCTGCTGCACTTTTTCTTAATGCTCTTAATGTCTTTCCTTTTTGTAAAGCACTTTGAATTGCTTTGCCTTGCCTTCTTAGTTCCACATAAACTGTGGGATTTAAGACATTGATAAATTCAGGTTGCAATATACATTCTAGTCAGTATAGACAGTAACGGGTCGTGTAAATCAGTTTAAGCTGACAGTGTCCGTCTCAAAGAAAGATGAATGCATGAAAAGTTACAACAACATTAGAAAATAAACCAAAGTTAAAAAGTGACATATTCTGATGAACTATTCTGATGTTTCCAGAACCGTATGTGGCGCAAGACCAGGAAGCCCA